GGCATGAGGGGGCAGAAGGAAGAGTGACCGTAGAGACTCTGTGTGAAAGCACTCAGCACTCGATACCACCCATGTGCCAATACCTTCCACCTTCCGGCTCCCTCTTCTGCCCTCGGTCCTAAACTGCCTCCTGGATGTTAGACATTCTCTTGAATGTCTAACAGATACCCCTCACTGTGCCCCAAACTGGATTCGGTTTTCCCCTGTCCACACCCACTGAAACCTGTTCCTTGGTGGGTATTCCTTGTTTCGGGGGCAGCACTTGAGTCCAGCTCATGGCAGATGTCAGTCAGTCAGCTGACTCCCCTCTGGTCCCTTACAGCCAGGTCAGTCACCAGATCTTAATTCGTTCTGTTTCTTTACTAGCTCCCAAATATATTCTCCTTGCACTTTTAGCTTAAGTATTTTTTTTTTTAATTTCAAGTTTTCATCATTTGTCGCCTTGACTATTACTGCAGCAACATCCTAACAGACTTCCCTGCTTCCAGTCTTATTTCCCTGAATGTGCTCTCCATACTGCGTGCTGTAGCCAGAGAGCCTTCTACAGGGCAGATCGGGTCACATCCTTCTCTAGCTCAGAGCCCTTCAGTGACTTCTCACGGTCATTAGGGTGAAATCCATAGCACAGAACACAGCTTCCTGACCTAGCTGTTCCTGAGAGTGTCAGCACTTCCCACCTCAACACCCACCTTCTGGACATTCTAGATTACCTGCTTCCCATAAATCCCTTACTCTTTCTTTCCCTGTGCTCTTATATGCATGCTGTTGTCACTATCTGAATTGTTTGATATTATTAAATAATAAAAAAAATTATAATAGACATATAAATTAAGTCAAAATATCCACTGTAGTAGTGTTCACAATAACACAGAATTGTAAATAACCTAAAGTCTATCAATAGGAGACTGGTGAAGTATATTAAAGGTTACTTGCACAATGGAATGATGTTTGATAATTCTATTAGTTTTAAATTTTTAAACATATATAAACTTTTTTTGAGAGAGAGAGAGCAGGGGAGGAGCAGAGAGAGAGGAGGAGACAGAATCCCAAGCGGGCTCCATACTGTGAGTGCAGATCTTGATGCAGGGCTTGAACTCACAAACCATGAGATTATGACCTGAGCTGAAATTCAAGAGTCAGCTGCTTAACCGATTGAGCCACCCAGGTGCCCCACATCTTTGTTAGTTTTAAGAGGAGTACATCTACATGTACTGAAATGGTCCAATGTCTATAATATAACAAGTGAAAAAGATAATCTCAGGTTAAAAAATGATATACAAATATATGTGTGTGCATATATGTTTATAAATATATAGAAAATGTTTAGCACACTATATGCCAAACCATTAATAGTGATTGAGGGAGCATATGCTAGAGGTGAGATGGAAGGTTGAATTTTAATTTTATATACTTCAATACTGTTTGAATTTTTAACTGTGGCCACAGAATACTTTAAAATAATAAATTATGATTATTTTTTAATTTTTTAAATGTTTATTTATTTGGGGGGGGAGGGGCAGAGAGAGAGGGAGACACAGAATCTGAGGCAGGCTCCAGGCTCTGAACGGTCAGCATAGAGTCTGATGCGGGGCTTGAACCCATGAATCAGGAGATCATGACCTGAGCCAAAGTTGGACATTTTACTGAGCCACCCAGGTAGTAAATTATTTAAAATAATAAATTATTTTTTAAATTAATATGCACATGGCATGAAATTAAAAAGGTACACAAAACATGTGTCCTGCTCATTCTGTTCCTCTCTTCAGAGATGAGCAATGTTAGTAGTTTCCTGTTTAATCTTCAAGAAATATGATACACCTATTTATTTTGTCAAGTAGAAAATTTACAGAAATGGTAGAGTATCAAACACACTGCTCTGTACCTTCCTGTTTTTCACTGACCAATACATCTTAGGGATTGTTCCATACAACATGTACATTCAGAGCCACTTCATTCTTTTCATGGCTGCATAGTATTTCATTGCATGAATGCCATGTGTTACTTTTGTAAACAAACAAAATAACAGGAGGAAAGGGAATAGGAGCTTCTGTGATCTATCACCAGCAAAATCAATATCCTTTATGTCTTGACTGTTCCCACTCCCCTGATGAAATAATAAAATGAAATGAGCGGAAGAGAGAACAGTCAGGTGGAAGAGAGGAGGGAAAGGGAGCAGAAAGGTAGATCTGCTCTTGGATATTCACATAGGTATTTATACAAAACTATCTACCCTGAAGCTTCTTGAAGAAGGTGCAAACATAGAAGTCAGCAAACTTTTTCTGGTATGGTCCAGATAGTTAATCTTTTTTTTTGTGGACCATACAGTCTCTGTTACGACTCCTCAGTTCTGTCAGTGTAATGTGAAAGCAGCCACAGGCAATACTTAAACGAACAGGCCTAGCTGTGTGCCAATATTTTAACCAGCATACAGTGCCTTGCATATAGTAGCCCTCAATAAATATTTACTGATTGAATGAAGAGTGGGGGACTGCCAACTGGAAATGACCATAGATCCTCAGAGAATAATCTCTTTCTTCCACTGAAAGGTCTCCTTTGATGATGCACCTGAGAGAACTGGACACATAGATCTAATCATGGCGGTACCTGTTGGAACACGTGCATCTGAACTCCATTTCAGCAATTTTGATAGTGGTTGCTGGAGGGAGAATGCCATCTATCCCCCTGTTTAGTCAAAGTACCTTGGCTGTTAGTCAAACATGTGTGCCAGTGATAGATGTGGTATAATTGAGAAGAAGAAAAGTAGTCCCTGACATGCAGGACTTGGCCTAACACTCATCAGTAGGGTCAAGACAAAATCAAGACCACTTTGTAATCATGCCTGGACACAGACAAAATGTGAACACTATCCAAGCCACAAAATACCAAATATCTCTCTCTCTCTGACAAATATGAGAGACCGCTGCTTTTTACTAATTATAGCTTTAGCCTCACTATACATAAGATGTGAGATACCCAATCACAGAATCACTCTTGCTTCCTGACAGCATTCAACGCAGAGCAAAGTCTTGCTTCCTTAAGCCCTCCTCAAAATCACCTAACATGAACCCAAATCCTTCAAGTCTTTTCTAATGTTCTCTTACGGGGACACTCATGGTGTGTGTTCTCCTTGCTGAAATGAGTAATAAACCCAAACTGTTAATTACAAGTGTGTTCCTGGGAGTCTCTGGCTGGAAGGGACTAGTTTATGTAATGGACATTTAGACTCCAATGACTATTTGGATTATCCATGACTCTGCTCCATACTATTAGTGGAGATATTTGAAACATGACCATACTATAAAGTCCGAAAGTCCCTAACACGTTATTACATGCCATTTAGGACAACATTTTTTTCTTATCACAAGAAAAACATTTTGTAGCTATGTGAGGTGATGGATGCTACCTAGATTTAGTGTGGTAATAATTTAGCTATAATATATACATATATCAAATCATTATGTTGCATACCTTAAACCAATAAAATGTCGTCTGTCAATTACGTCTCAATAAAACCAGGGATAAAACACAAAATTTCACGTAAATGTTAGATACTGAACTGAATAACACATATTTTATAAAATCCTGAAGCTACAGCAAAATCTAAGAGCATCTTACTGAGCTGGATACTGGCTGTCCGGTGGCTGAATTTCTACACATAGTGAGTCTGGCATTCAATTCTTCTGCAAGATGAGTTTGAACATCCAAGTTATTTGATGCCGGAGGTGATGGGAAGGCCCGATTGCTATCCATGGTGGCTTCATCTTCTCTTATAATTTCCCAGTTCTAAAATAAACAGAATCATCTTAATCCACACTTACTTTGATCTATTGCTTTAACATGTGTCTATCGGTAAGAACAAGAAAATCATTTCTACCTCGGAAGACTCGCGATTATCAACACTTTCTGTCTCCTCAGATATTTGCCGCCTTGTGGTAAATGCACGTTGTGCTTGCAGTTGAATATTACCATTCTCAGCATCCGTTAGGCTGTCCCTGTATTAGAGATATACAAGCCATTATCCATGTCTGAAGACAGTTAAGATGATAGTCACAGATGCTGTGACCATTTAAAAAAAATACCTTATATCAGAATTCACTATTTGGGTCAAAGGCTATTTCAACATGCACAGACTAGGTCATGGGCACATTGGTATCTTCAGAGTACCTTATGGAATTAAGGCTTTGTGCAAATGTGTAACATGTCTGACTTTGATATTTTACTTTATCACCATGTCTATACAATACTGTTTGACATGGAAGGGCATTCAAAAATATTTGTTGAATAAATATATCTGAGAGCTTCATAAATAATTTCATTACATTATTATTTTGCCATGTTATTTATATGAGTAAAATCTAAAATAGCTCTAGAGAGATTATAAAAAAGAGGCTTTAAGAGTTACTTATACATCTTCATTAATCAGTTGGTAATATTTTCCAGAATCAATATTAAGCCAAGAGTTGAGTTACCCATACAAGAATGCAGAGGGCAAAATAAAAGATCATGTAAGAAACACTATAATTAAAAACTTAATAGATTACAGATTAAATAGTATCTGGATTTGATCATTTACAGAAATAGGCATTGTCTGAAAAATTATCATAGAAAAGGCATGTCTGAGTGTAGGAAAGTTATATAAATCAGACTGAACACCATTACCCCATTAATTAGTTTTATTATTCTAGCTATTTGAATTTAGTACAACCAGACCATCAGATCAAGAATTTTATACAAATATTTAATAACAAAATTATTATTAACTTATTTAGTGCCATATAATCCCAGGAGAGTCAAAAGATCAGTTCTTATTGTACTATTGCTGAAGAAAATTCAATTTTGACAGATGACCTTAAGGGAATGCTTCAGATTTTTTTCCCCTAAATATGTGATTTAGGCTAACTGAAAATGACATCAATGGTAGTGAAAGAAATGTATCCTGCTCAAGTCAGGCCTGCTGAGGTATGCAGTAGGACAATTTTGTAGAATTCTATAGTGCCTTCATATTTGCAATCTGTACAGATCTCTACAGAGATAGATGCTTCTGTACCATGAAGAACTATGACCACTGATTTGCTTTACAAGGATCTGAGAACAGAAACTATCTATGAAAGTGCTTGGACTGTATCAGACCCAAAATACCAAAGCCGAAAATTAGAAGGTTAATGGACAAATAAAAATTTTAAGTCTCTGTCAAAAAGTAGAAGACTAAAGAAAGCCTCATAAGACTGTAAGGGAGGAGATGTGAAAGGGTATTTGATAATAAATGTGAGTAATGGGCCATTTGTAAATGTATATGTATAAAATATGGTCTGATGGTAATAAAAGAAAAATATCACTGAGGAGACATCAATTAGAATACCTCAAAGGTCATTCTATCCTTGATCTGTGTGCACTGGAAATTATGTATCACTGACCAGACTGGAAAATGAGTGTTTAACAAAAGACCCTTGTTATTCAGTCCTCTATATTTTATAAGCAATTTATATTTAAAAAGAGTGTACTGTAGAAATTAACAGTTTATTATACTTTAGTAACAAGCTACAAAAATTTCCAAGATTTTTCTAAACCAGTCTAAAGAGAAAAATGTATCCTTTGTGGCTACAAAGTAATTTAAAATAAAGAAGCAATTAGAAGAGTGGCATTTGTGACTCAAATAATTTTGAACATTACAAAATCATTTAATAAAAAAACAGGATGGCATTTTAAAAGTCCTGAACCACAAAAATCCTCATATTTTTATAGTTTATGGATCCCTACATTATTATTAATCCATTTGAGATATGACTGCAAAATAAAAATCTGTGGTCAAAATGTATTCAGATTACAAATGTGAAAGTCACCAGCACATACTGAGGGGTTGGTCTTTTCCACTGTGTTCTTCTAGATTCATGGTTTACATAGTAGGTCCTTCCAAGAATATCCTGCCTCTCTTCCCATCCTGGAGGTAGAGGAGAAGGTTCTTGTTGTTGCTGCAAATGGCAAGCAGCATCCGGTTGGTCCAAAACAACCCAGCCAGGCTGAAAACCAGAGTGGTAACAATTAAGTTTGTTCTTGATCTTTTTCACCTTATAAATTATGCTGGAGGAAATTCAAAAAAGAGATTTAGCATATCCAGTTCCAGAAATTATGCAAGGACAAAATTTGCACAGTGTCTACCTTTAAGACCATAATATGAATATTTTATGATAATGAAGACTTTTTTTTTCCAGCAAAATAATAACATTTAAGTTCCACTTGAAACTTTTAACATTTTCCAAAAAAGTTTTAAAACATACCTAAGAGGAGAGAAGAACAGAACTTCTAAATAAATAGATAATGATGGAAAGCACTGAGAAACATAATTTAAACTAGTGTAATCTTAGGCTATTCTCTAAATTATAAGCAAATGAATGAAGGACACAAATTTTGTCTTTCCTCCAGAGAAAGCACCTTGTTTATAATGGAAATCAGCAACTACTGGAGACCTGAAAAAAAAATCATTAAACGAAGCTCAAATATGTATAGGCATAGCAGGGAAAGGCAAGCGATGCAGAAATAATTGCTACAGTCAACTTTCTAGCAACTGAAAAGCCATTATGATTCTCTGGTCTGATTTTTCTCTTTCTCCTATGGACCATGGAAAGGCATTTTGGTCAGGTCATAAAATAGCCAAAGAAATAAAAGTTCTGTTTGTTTTCTTTGTTTCGTTTAAAAGACAAGAAGACACTGGAAATTTCCTCTGATATAGTGAGGGGCAAATATACATGAAGCCTAAGCTAGGGTGGTTAGGGTAAGGAATTACTTGAAAGGTAGTAAGAGTTAATGGCATGTTTTTACATAAGAAAACTCCTAACAGAAAAGGCAGTAGTGAAAGGTCCTACTAAATACCAATAACGCTAGGAAGGCAGAAATAAATGAATAAAAAAAAACTTAAAAATTCTCCTAAAGAGACATAAAGAAAGAATTGAATGAATGAAAAGACATAATATGATCTTGGTTAGGAAGACTCAGTCTCACTAAGGTATCAATTCTCCCCAAGTTGATATATAAAGTTGCCAAGATTCCGCTAAAACTACATTACAGATTTTTAAAAATAATGGGACAAGGCAATTCTCAAGTTCAAAAAGAAACACAAACAAGCAAGAATAACCACCACAGTTCTAAAGAAAAAAGAAGGGGGAGCCTGGGTGGCTCAGTTGGCTTAACGCTTCTGACTCTTGGTGATCTCACGGTTTGTGAGAGTGAGCCCCACGTCAGCATAGAGCCTGCTTAGGATTCTCTCTCTCTCTCTCTCTCTCTCTCTCTCTCTGTCCTTACCCCACTCACGTGCATACATGTGCTCTCTCTCAAAATAAATAAATAAACTAACAAAACAAAACAAAACCTTACAAACTCTATACAGCTTTTAAAAAAAGGAGTGAATATTAACCCTACTGAATAAAATATATTACAAACCACAATAATTGGTACACACATGGACAGACAGCTCAATAGAATGGATTAGAAAGCCCAGAAAGAGACTCAAATTTATAGGAATTTAGGATATGATAAAGACATTTCAAACTTGTGAAAAAAGAAAAAAATTATCTGGGTTGCTACCTTCTACCAGGATGTTACAGACTGAGCAATGTTGAAATGTTAGAAAGCAAAAACAACATATATTACAACAAAGCTGGGGGATTTAAAAAATATAATCTAAGAGTGGGGAAGCTTTTAAGTATGAAAAAGAAGGTTGACAGATTTGATTACAAAACCCCCCAATTTGTACATGACAAAAACTACCAAATCAAAATGGAAAGAAAAATGGGAAAGTGAGAAACATATTTGGTATCAGAGTAACAGGCAAAAAAATAATTTCCTTAACATATACTGTCTTTCTTTCGAAGCACTGGGTGGGGATCTAGCCCTGAAGGACTGCTATTTGCTGGCCAGCGGATGGCTTAGAAGGTGGAAGAGAATTCTTTTATGTCGGAAGGCAAAATCTGACAAGAAAGGATCAGGGAGAAGAGCTGGGAAGGAAAGGAATCTTTTCTGGCATCAGGGAGAAAAGGACAGGAGTTTCTCCAGCAAGGCTGATGTCTCTGGCTGGTCTGGTGGGAGGGTTCTAGACTGAAGCAGGACAGAAAGTGAACAAGAGTGGGGTGGTGGGTACGGAGAGAGGAAGACAAAGAATTTGTCTGGAAAAAAAGAGATCTGGATGGGAAGTAAAATTCACTCCTTTTCTTTCTTACTCTTCTCTTATTTTTTCCTTTTTACCTCTTCTATTGTTTTCCTTTTTTCCTCTTCTTTAATTTTGTTTCTTTATTTTTATTGCTCCATTCTCTTCTTTCTCTTTATCCTCTTTTTCTTTCCATCTATGTTTACCTTCCTTTTCTCTCTCCTTTCCATTCCTTTAAATGATCATAATATAGGATTTACATTCCTAAAAATTAGTCTTGTATATATTAAATCAAATTTTAGTTCTCTGGTCTTGATTTTAAAAGTATGTGAGTTGAATTTTTATATTTTGCTCTCTTGAAAAAAGTTTGTTTTTAAAAATATGGTCATTGATTATTTTTCTGTAGATCAATGAAATTTATTAATAAAAGGGTCCTCACTTCTGCTGTAAAGGATTGTAAACATGTTTAGAGCTCAAAAAATGGTACCAGAGGGTTATTTTTTTTTAATGTTTACTTATTTTGAGAGAGAGAGAGAGAGGGAGAAAGAAAACGAGCAGGGGAGGGGCAGAGAAAGGGAGAGAGAGGATCCTAAGCATACTCCATGCTGTCAGCGCAGGAGCCCAATACAGGGCTTGATCCCACAGACTACATGATCATGACCTAAGTGGAAACCAAGGGTCAGTTGCTTAACCAACCAAGCCACCCAGGCACCCCAAGATTATTTCTTTAAAATCTTCTTAAAGATGTCTCTTTTAAAGGTGTACTTAGTGAATTTATGCTAAGTAAACGAAAAGGGGAAAAGCTAATTTAAATTTTTTTTTTTTAACGTTTTATTGATTTTTGAGACAGAGAGAGACAGAGCATGAACGGGGGAGGGTCAGAGAGAGGGAGACACAGAATCTGAAACAGGCTCCAGGCTCTGAGCTGTCAGCACAGAGCCCGACATGGGGCTCGAACTTACGGACCGCGAGATCATGACCTGAGCCAAAGTCGGCCGCTTAACCGACTGAGCCACCCAGGCGCCCCAGGAAATGCTAATTTAATTGAAGGCCCAGTTTTTAAAAACTTGTTTCAAGTTTGAGAAAGTGCAGTTGTACATTTGAATACTGTTTAGAAAGACTGAGTTTTCATTTTTTTTTGTATAGAATGCCTCCCTATTAAACATATATCAGCTAATACTCTTCATGAAATATTTTCTAAGTATCAATGTTATTTACTGATAAGCTAGTATATGATTGCCAACAATTTAATGGAGTCAAAGAAGGTCAGAAAGAAAGCATTTAGAGCTACAACACACATTATATGTTAATCTTGTAAAATACATACAACTAAGTCTAAAGTTGCAAAGGGTACAAAAATCGAATGTTAAACAATAATCTATTACAGCCAGACTTTGACATACTAAGAAATACAAATTGCCTGAGTGAGCCACTCTTTTGAAAATGCCATTGTTTTTCTTTAAATGGTAGAATTTATATATTCACAAGCTAGATGTCAAAGACAAGACTTCTCTGGTCATTAGCTACACAGAAGATAAATAAGCATAGACTCATGTGTTTGAATTCCTAAGGCCTTTCATAAATAAACTCCTACATGCTTACATCTACTGAAATTATAAGGTGCATTCTGAGGGAACTCAAACATTGAGACCTGAGGCCACAAAATGAAGTGAAGGAACTCTACCCACAGACACTAAACTGTGAATAAGGTACCTATGATACGTGTGTGTGGGCAAAACTTGGAGCAGGTTACTAAATAATGAAATGTTGTTAAGTTTTTTTAAGTTACTAAATTAAGAATTTTCTTTCTTTAAGCAGGCATCCTTCATTTCAAACAGTATTCATTACGCAGATACCCTGTGCACCAAAACGTCAGGTAGAGAAACTTTGACCCAATAAATACCTAGAATTTTTAAAAAGTGATTTTTATATAATAAGCTAGAGAAAAACTAAAAAAGAAAAGGTAATCAAATAAACAAATATAGGCTTAAGAGAGGATACCAAGTTTTTTGATTGCCCGACTAAGGGCTAACTATATTCTGTGATTTAAATAATTTTTTTCCTTCTATTATTACAGCTTTCCCCCACAAAGTAAAATCTTATTAGTGCATATAAAAAATTCCCAGAAAGCTCTCTTGCAAAAGCATGGCTTGTTCTCAAGCTTTCTGACCCAAGGTATGTGGGTATCTGAGGTAGAGTCCAGTGCTTGGGAGGTCCTTTACCTTCACGGTTCTTCTGGAGACCTAACCAGACCCTCAGCCAAAGAGGCATGACTATTGAGGAAGGCACATGCAAGAAAACTCTCCAAATTAAGGGTGCTTGGGTGGCTCAGTCGGTTAAGCATCTGACTCTTGATTTCAGCTTGGGTCATGATCTCAGGGTCATGATCTCATAATTGTAAGATTGAGCCCCACATCAGGCTCCATGCTGAATGTGCAGCCTACTTAAGATTCTCCCTCTCCTTCTCTCTCTCCCCTTCCCCTGCTTGTATTTTTGCTCTCTAAAACAAACAAACAAACAAACAAACTCTCCAAAGCATATTGGTGCCAATATACTATGTGCTTTCAGTAAATGTTGTTGCTTCAGTGGGAAATTCAAGACAGGGTTCTTTTGTTCCCTTTTCAAATCATGAGTTTTTCTGCTGGAAGAAACCCTAGAGGTCATCTGGTACCACAGTCATTGTACAAATGAAGACACTGTGGTTCAGAGATATTGAATGACACAGTCACTTGGCTCACTAGTACCAGAGCTCGGGACTAGGATTCCAGTCACTAACTCCCTATCCAATTCTGTTCCAAATACATGCTCTCTGCCTCTTCCTCACTCACCCTTGATGCATGTAGCTCCGCCCAAATAGTTGACTTGGACTTCTTCATATCCTGTCATCCACGAAAATTATTAAATTCTATTTGCCTCAAATAAATATGGCCTTTTATTAGATCACTTGAATTCTTTCCCCCTCCATTCCCCTCCTTTCCTATGAGTCCTCCCATCCTCACTGCAACTATGAGAGGAAAAGTAACAAGAATTATATTTCATAAAAGAGTTCCTACTCAGTAGTCTCCTTAAAATTTCTATATATTTAGCTTACAAATAGTAAATTATATTCTTACTTTAATGGAGGAGAATATGACATGGTTTTAGAAAACCCTGAAAAAACAGAAAGAGTTGATAACTTAATTACAATAAATACTTTCATTTATAAACATCATATTCCCTATTCACTAACCTTTAAGAATGCCCTCAGTAATGGCCATTCATTATAGAAATGTCCTCAGAGGAAAGAAATGTTTAATGAATGATTAGGTAAAATAAACAAATACCCAGGTATATAATTTTTATTGCACACATTAACTTCATTGAATAAAGTTATTTTTTCTTCAAGGTATAGTAAAATAAGAAATGAGATATTTTCTTTTCATTGAACCAAGTATTTATAAAATCTCACCTCTAATTCTTCAGTCTGTTCTGTATTATCTTCTTCTGAGCCACTGGTTTTAGGTAAATAAGTCATTTTTAATCTCAGATAACCTTTAACTCTTGATTTGTGACTGTAGAAAAGAAAATAATTATTCGCAAAACTTTAACACTTAAGAAGAAAAGCACTCATTTAACTAAAGTTTAACGAATACCTACTAGCTACTAGAGGAGACCCAAAGACAAACTCTACTACAAAAGACAGCTAGGAAAAGGAGTGGGTGGTGGAGAAAAAGTAATAGACATAAATAAATAATTGTTATGAAATAAATAAGATGCTAAGGAAGTTTGAGTAAAAGATCAGGGAGAACGTGAAGGAGTTGCATCTGAATTGGTGCTAAAAGATTGAGGAGGATTTTGATCCGTGGCAGTGAATGGAAAGGCATAAGAGTGGAGAAAAGACTAAAAAATGAGGAAACGATGGGAAACCTGGGGTACACCGAAGGAAAGGGTAGTTGTTGGGTTTGGCTGGCTTACGGGATACACAGAGGAGGAACGGATGATCCGGATCATGAGGTCCACGTGAAATAAGAGAACTTTAGATTTTGTATACTCTGTGAAGCCAGATAATTTGGCGGACAGGGAAAGGCAGCCTCAGAGATATACTTTGGGGATACTTATCTAGTCATACTGTACAGGATGATAGAAAAGTGGAGAGCAAGGCCTGATAACTGTCTGAAACCTACTGTCTTTCTTTGACAGCTGTTTGAGTCTGTCACACATTAATATATCTATTTTATTTTATAATGTATATGAATAATGTCTTTGCATAATGAGTTGTCCAAGCTAAAGGTTGCTGTCCATTGTATTAATATTTTAAAAGTTTTAAATCTGTCTATTTGTCCCCACCAATTTCAACATCCTATACACTTAAAAAGTTCTTCCTTGTCCTAGTTTTCTGCAAAGATATGTTGGTGATTTTTATAGACATCAGTTATGTAACCAATTACTCTTTGTCTTTCTTAACAAGAAAGTCTTATCTTTTATTCTATCTTTTATTGGAAGGTACTCCCTTCCCCACCCCACTTAATGCCTCCTCCCTTAATCTTTTGTACAGTTCTCATGAGTTTGGAAACTAGCTTTCCTGAGTGGTCAACAGAATCCCTGATGTTTATTTCCAAGGCCACTAATGTGGCTTGTGTCTCCATTTTTTAGGGGGATGTGAACATTGACTTGCTGCTATAATGGATGGATACAGAAAACTTGCTCAAATAATGTTTTATACAAGAGTTTCTCTATAGTGACATTTTCATGTCTTTCAAACTAGACATTAAGCCTGTGGGTTTGGACTTAATGGGGCTCAAAAAGTGTAAGAATGTAGTACATTTCCTATTTGATTTCAAGTTCTTTCTGCACTTGCAGTGATAGTCCATACAGACAGAAGATACAAATTATATATATATATATATATATATATATATATATATATATATATATATATATATATACATTTTTTTTTTAAAGAGAAAGACACTAGAAAGCATTTGAAAAAGTAAAAAGCAGGCTACTAGGGCAATTAAGAGAAGAAACATTTATTTATTATTGGTATGCAGATGCCACAATCAGTTTAAAAAGAAAAGAGATTTATATTCCAAGACTTCTACAGAAGTGAAATATGTGACTTCTCTTATAGAATATAAATATTAACAGAGAGTACTGTCCCTTTTATTTTGCTTTAATAATTTATATTACAAAGAGTAAATTTTTTTAATGAAAAATTTTACTCAGTTCCCATAGTATATTTTTCTAATGTATTTTCTAGTTTAAAAAACAAGACAAATACTGTTGTTTTTGCAGATGTACTTCTTTATTTTGACTTTGACCTTTTTGACAGTAAATCAATACATCCTCACTAGATTTTACTGAACTAGGTGGCACAGAATATTAAAAGGGGTTTTATTTTTGTAAAGGAGTTTTATTTACAGCTTAAACAAAAATTTTTAACAAAACTCAAGTAACTCAGTTTACAAAAATGGAATTATGAACATGCTATTCAGGTTTTAAATTCTAGTCCTTGCTCAAATTATTTTCTCTAAATATCTGAGTTTTCTTAAATACCTGTTTTTATTAAAAGTATGCAAAACGTGGTTAGGTTTTTCTGAAATTGTTTTTGTGCATATCAAGTTAGATATTGCTTTTGGCTTAATTAATGCTTGTGCTTTTGAAAAGGATAGTATGACAAAATTATATATATTTTAAGATATAAAATAAATAATAAAACAGTAATGACAAATTTCCACTTTCTAGTCTGATAAATATTAGGGGGACAAGTCTTTCCTAAAGGGATATGATCACTTCTCTGTATTTTCAGAATTTTTTGTACTGTGCATATATTACTTTTTAATCAGCAATAAAAAGTAAAGCTTTTAAAAATAATATTTAGAAGTAGCTTATTTACAAAGGTTTAAGCTTTGAATCTGCAAAGAGGCTACTACAAGGTATAATAATATTTTAAAAAACATTATGTTATTATTTTATATTTACTGACCTTCTTGGGTGAAGAACAAAATCCTTAAACGTATATGGTCTCTCCATTCTTGGATTTTCTGTCTAGAATAAAACAGTAAGTTTTCAAGATACATCTATAACACCAAAAACATGTACTTTTAAGGAAATATTCATGAACTATGACCTAAGCCTTGGCTGAAGTTAGAAGTGAGAAAAATATAGGTTTAGCTCATTCAATGGTTATATCTGGCAGCTTGCTAGTGCTTTCACTTTCCTGAACCCTAGGAATTGCAGTGGGATCACGCCTTAATACCAAATAAGCTGAGCAGGTGCACATAGAGGGAAGAAGTGGTTACAACGTAGAGGCCATCCTAGGAGAACAAAAAAGAAAACAGCCTGGAGAGCAAGACTGGATTAAATATATTATTAAAAGCTTGTGATCTCTAAAGACTGTAGAGAACCAATAAATATCTCAAAAGACTGATACAGTAAGAAGCCTTACTTGTCTTTATCAAGTTCAACAGCCCTTTGCTTTTGTTCATTTCTTTGTTACATTTTGCATTAACTACCCATTCAGTCTTGTAACTCTTAAATTCTCATGACATTATTTTCCTTTATCCCCCACCTGTTTCTCCCTGTCTGTCTTCTCTGATAGGCCCACCCTGACTAAGGGTCAATGTTTGGCTTTCAATGCTCTCACCTCTCTTACTTGGACAGCCCATCGTTCTCAGAGATTCTGCTGTCACCTGAATGTGAGAACTCTCACTCCTTCCAGCCTCTTTCTCTATACAATTGACTTTTGTATTTCTGTCAGCTGCCCACTTTAGGCCTTCTACTTCCCCTGTTTTCTGTTGAAATTCATTATGGCCAAAAATAAATCTATCATTTTTCAAAACAAAATGGCTTTTCCTCCTACCTATTCTACTTGAGACACCACCTTGATGTCCCAAATTCAACCTGTGCTATCTTTACTTTCTGTTTATTTTTTTCCTCAACCTCCAATGTCAGAAAACTGGCTTAATAATTTTTTATTATGAAATGTGTTCTGAATCTGTTTTCCTCTGTTGTTATATGCTTGGTCCACATTCAGTTTCATGCCCAGACTGTCGTAAATGATCTTAGTTTCTTTCTGCGAGACTAAGCTCTCTCCATTCAGCCGAATGTTTCCAAACTTATTTCCCTGAGACATGCTTTCCTGATGTCAACCAACCTCAGCAGCTGTCTATTTCTTATTGGGGTTCATGTAAGGGAGTCTTGAAAATAAAATTAAAATGGAAAACTTAGGGGCTTCTCGGTGGCTCAGTCTGTTAAATGTATGACTCGTGACTTTGGCTCAGATCATCATCACCTCTCTCTGCCTGTCATGGGGTTCTCCTCTCTCTCTCTCTCTCTCCCTCTGTCTGCCCCTTCCTCACCTCTCAAAATAAATAAACATTAAAAAAATCCTTAAAAGGGAAAATTGAGATGAGTTTTCAGAAAATAATATGGTCAAGAAATTATAGAAGTATACATTTTACAAATCAAATATTTACATTTATTATATTGTAATATCGTGTATCTGTAAGTATTTATTAGAAAAAAAGAATAAATATAAAAATTAAAATCATCTATACCAACCGGTAATGGATAAAGAGGAACATCCACTTGACCTAGGAAATCATCTCTTGTCTATAAGAAAAAGAATAAAAAATAAGATTAGTAATATGCTCAACATTTTTAGAAATTTTGATGAGCTATTGCCATCATTCATGAAAAAATGTAGAAGTCTTTTTTTGTTGTTTAATCCTATGCCATATAATGTAAAATAAAAGGTAATATGATACAACTTATGGTATATTATAGAATAGAGTATACTAGACTGATCATTTTACAGATAATTATATACTCTGAAAAATTCTGAAAACAGCTATTTGAAAGCACTATAGAGTTACTACAAGCAAGCAGAAATTGAAGGGGAGTGAATCTTTGAAAGAAGGAACTGTATTGGGTAGGATTCATATTTACATCACTTTTCCCCTCATTGTACTTCACAGTTCATATGGTGGTATGGTTAGAACTCAAACAGACATCTGACATCTTACTCATTTGAGGAAGCTGAAAACCTAGTTTGAGGCTAACAGCATAGCTAGAAAGTGAGAGGGACAATCTCTGAAAGAAAGATGCCACAGAAGTCCCTCTAAATCTATACATGAACTCTACCCAAATTCTTAGCTGATCCCTGAACTGCACGTATGAAAGGCAGTGGCTGGAAGGCTCAGCTAAGTTAACAACTTGCTAGAACAAAAATCAACACTCTCAGGGAAAGATAATAAAATTTACTATCTCAATTATGTACCACATACATTGACCAGTACACAAGTTACTAAACATGCAAAGAAACAGAAAAATGTGATCCAGTATCAAGAGAAAAAGTCAATAAAAACTGACCCCAAGACCAACCAGATCTGGGAATCAGCAGACAGAGAAATTAAAGCAGCTATTATAAAGATGTTCAAGGACTGAAAAGGAAAATAAGATCATAATGAGTAGCTGGAGGGGAAAATCTCAGTAGTGAAATGGGAACTATAAAACTGAATCAAATGTATATTTTAAAACATATATAGAACTGAAAAATATAATATCCAAATTAAAGATTACGGGATGGACTTAACATGTGATTGAAGATGACTGGAGAAAAGCTCCATGAATTTTAAGATATGCCAGTAGAATTTATATAAGATGAAAAATAAGGAGGACTTATGGAAAAACTTCAAGTAGTCTCATATATGTGCAACTGGAGTGCCAGAAAAAGAGGAGAGGGAAGGAGGGAGGGAGGGGGAGAGAGAGAGAGAGAGAGACAGAGAGAGAGACAGAGACAGAGAGGATAGCACAACTGGAGGAAAAGTAGCCAGCTTCCCCAAACATTAAGATGTTAATCTTAGATAACTATAGCACAATGATTAGAACCAGGAATACTATTTTTTTAGAGGAAATAATAACACTTTTATGTATTTAATCTTCTATTCTTAGGTTTTTTAATTGTAAATAAAAACCTATATGCTTAACAATATCTGTCACCTGTAATATTGAAGTATTTAAAGTAACGTGTGAAAAACCCTGACCCTCCAATCCCAGTTCCAGAGTGAACCAGGGTTAACTGTTCAGTAAACTTCTTTCAGATATTTACCTACACGCATCCATTCATACACCTTTTTTTTTATTAAGGTACAATAAACATACAACATTATATTAGTTTCAGGTATACAATATAATGAATCAATGTGTGTATATATTGAAAAACAATCACTACAGTAAATCTAACATTTATCACCATACATAGTTTTTTTTTTCTTGTGATGGGAACCTGTAAGATTTGCTGTCTTAGAAGATTTATAATATGCAATACAGTATTATTTATAGTTACCATGCTATACATTATACTCCCATGACTAATTTGTTTTATAAATGAAAGTTTATACCTTTTGACTCCCTTTACCTACTTCACCCACCCCAACTCCCTTCCTAAGGAAACTGGAAACTACCAACTTGTTCTCTGTAAATTAATTAATTAATTTATTTATTTATTTTAAGATTCCACAAATACGTGAGAGTATATGGTATTTGTCTTTCTCTGTATGACTTATTTCACTTAGCTTAACACCCTCAAGGTCCATCTATGTTGTTGCAAATGGCAAAATTTCATTCTTTTTTATGCTGAATAATATTCCATTGTGTATGTGTATATATATATATACACACACACATATATATATACACACATGTATATATATACACACGTATGTATATATACATACACATGTATGTATATATACATATATATACATGTGTATGTATATATATATATATATATATACATATATATATATATATACATCTCACATCTTCTTTATCCATTCATCCACCGATGGACCCTTATGTTGTTTCTGTGGCTTGGCTATTGTAAATACTGCTATAATGAAATGGAGGTGCAGATATCTTTTTGAGTCAGTGCTTTCATTTTCTTTGGAAAAATACCCAGCAGTGAAATTCCTAGATCATATGGCAATTTTATTCTTAATTTTTGAGGACCCTCCACACTGTTTTCCATATTGGCTGTCCCAATTTACATCATCAACAATGCACAAGGGTTTCTTTTCCTACACATCTTCATCAACACTTGTTATTTCCTGTCTTTGTGATAATAACCATTCCGACAGGTGTGTGGTGATATCTGATTGTGGTTTTGATTTGCATTTCCCTCATTATTAGTGATGTTGGGCATCTTTTCATGTGTCTGTCAGCCATTTGTATGTCTTTTTTTGAAAAATGTCTATTCAGATCTTCTGTTCATTTTTAAAATCAGATTTGTTTTTGTTTTTGTTTGTTTTGCTATTGAATTATAAGAAAACCAGGAAGACTATTAGCTAATCTACAGATCTTACTCAAACTTCACCAACTGTCCCACTACTTTTGGTCCAGGATCTAATTCTGGATCACATACTGCATTTAGTTGTCATGTCTCCTTAATGTCTTTTAATCAGTAAAGTACCTCAGTCTCTTTGTCTTTCATAATCTTGACTCTTATGAAGAGGAATGGCTAGTTACAGAATGTTCATCAGTTTGGATTTGTGTAATGTTTCTTCATGGTTGAATTTAGATTATGCATTTGGGGAGCAAGAATACCATAAAAGTGATATTGGCATTTTTCTCAGTGCATCCTGTAAGTAATCAATAAACACTGGAATCTTATACATTATGGACAGTTAAGGACCACTAAATATTGGAGTAAAATCTGTAACTTGAAAAACAGAGACCTCCCCCCTCCCCCCAAAAAACAGAAATAAAGGAGTCAGATGAATCAGTATCAAGTCATACTGCAAGATAAATACTTCATAAAAACTATAATTAATATTTCAGACATGAGATGAAATATCTGACAAACAATAGGAGGTTATAAAAGAAGCACTGAAAGAACAAAAAAAAAAGAGCTGTTGGAAATTAAAAATATAACTGAAATAAAAAATTTCATATAGAGTTGGAAAATGGAGTTAAAGAAATTTCTCATAAAGTAGAATTAAAAGACTACAGGATTCCCAAAATAAGGAAATTACAGGATGAACTTAAGTCCACATCTAATTAACAAACATTCCAGAGAGAAAAAAGAGAAGGGAAGAAATTATCAAAGAAGCATTTTAAGAAACTTCCCTTGAACTCAAGGAAATGAATTTTGGAGTGAAAGTCTCCACTAAGTATTAGGCAAAATGCATGAAGAAAAGATGCACAGCAAGGTACATCAATGTGACATTTCAGAGCACCAGAGATAAAGCAATTCTAAAAGTCTAGAGAGACACAAAACAGATCATACACAAAACTGAAAGACAAGAGAAAAATGCCTTCAAAATTGTGGGAGAAAAATATTTCCTACATAGAATTCTATACCCAGCCAAAAGATCTTTAAAAATGAAGGCAGAATAAAGACGTTTTCAGACACTTGGTATTCTTACTAAGGTAATAGAGGATACACTCCACCAAAATAAGGGAGTATATCATGGTAAGTGAAGATGCAGGAGATTCAAGATGAGAAACAAGAAAAGAGGATCCCCCAAGTCATGAGGAAGGGAACTTTTGAATAACAGTAGTGTAAGATCTACAGAAAAACCAGTATATACTGGTGCAGGAAAGATGGATGGCTATAAAAACAATGCTTCCAGAGGCGCCTGTTGGTTAGGCGCCTGACTTCAGCTCAGGTCATGATCTTGTGGTTCACAAGTTTGAG